GAGGCAAGAGACTCACTTGAGCCCAGGAGTTGGAGGTTGCTGTGAGCTGTAATGCCACAGCACTCTAGCCAGGGGGACAGCTTGAGGCTCTGTCTCAAAAAAGAATCCTAGATTAACAGAGTTTAGGGGAAGCAGTTTTGTTACAAACCACTGAATTCTAGTCCTAGACCCATGGTGTCAATACAGTAGCCACCAGAGCCACCAGCCATTTGCAGTTATGTAAATTTAAGTTAAAAATAAATTCAGTTCTACCACAGCCATATTTCACAGGCTCAACAGCCATATGTGGTTAGTGACCACCATTGGGCTAGAAAAAATCCATCATCACAGACAATTGTACTGGACAGTGCTGCTGTAGACAAAATCCAAAGTATAGGTGACACTTGGAAGAACTTAAACCCTTGTATCTGATTTTCACTTTTGATACCACTAACCAAATCACTCACAGTGCAGCACTAGGAATGAAGACATGGGGGTTACAGTGTTAGCGTTTTTGTCTCAATTTCCTTATTTATAAGGGTATAGACCACTTACCGCCAGGAATGTCCCTTCTTTTCAATTATAGAACACTCACATCATAATCCCCACAGGGACTTATTTGAGCATAACTGGCCTAGAATAAGACAGGTGCTCTTCTGTGCCAACACAGGCCTTAGTTGACGTAGGAGGCACAGAAATGAGAAAGCTTTTTAAACTTGTAAAAGAAAAAAAAATGGAGGCTGGGCACTGTGGCTCATGCCTCTAATCCTGAACTTTATGGACACCCTGTACAATCAATTTAGGTTCTCAAGAAAGATTACCTTGTATGTGAATTAACCAGCATCGGCCAGCTTGATTGATGATGGCTAAGTCACCAGAGCTTCATCACCTCTGTGCTAAATGATAAAATCAAGTTTCTGAATTTGTAAACTAACCAAAATGAAAGGTCCAAGACTAGGCCTAATTTCTGTAGCCATCTCAATGCAATGCTCATGTTCTGCTTCATTCCCAGGATGCAAAAAACTGGAAATCAACTCCCTAGTTTTTGTATTTTCCCAATTAGTCCAGAATTGTCCCTTATAAGCTAGCTGCTACACTGTCTCTGAATCCCGCTAACTTAATGCACTCACCATTTCCTGTTACAAGGACTTTCAAAGGCTAAAAACTTTGAAGGATTTCCAGGATGTATCTCAGGCAAGACTTCAAAAATCTGAATTTTAGCAAAAATTGTTTGTTTCTAGACTTAGCTTCCTCACATTTCTCTATGCATGAAAATAAGACTCACATGTTACAAGATATTTGCCAGACATTAAAGGCTCATTTAATTATTCTTATTACTTTTGAAATCAGGAATGAGGCCCTCTTCCCAATCTCCTTACTATCCCACAAAGCCATGGCTCTCTCCTTTATTTCCCTGGCCATTCTTTATGGCTTAGTTCAGGCTCACCACCTCCATAAAATTCCCAAGGACTACTCTAAATGTGTATGGCATCACTTCTTGGCCTTTTGGCTAAGATCAAGTGCAGTATTTAAACACGTATGGCATGGACTGTGCACAAAATGATGTAGTGTGTAATTACATGGTGTTACACATCACGAAGCTATGACTAGAAGTATTCTATCCATCCCTGGCATAAATGTTGCACTTCTCATGCTAGCGGAAAAAACTAGTTAAGTGTGAATTAGTCAAGTGTTATTCTAGTTTAAACTGTCCTAGAGGATTAAGTAAACATAATCCAGTACCATGACTGGTAAATTACCACACAGTAGTGAGGACTACTGTACAAATTTTGTTATTAGTCGTTAAACCAGGCAGTCAAAAAATTGTGACCTATGATTTTTGTTTTTAATTATGTTATGATCACACATAATTTTAAAATTTGTGTATATCTCTTCTATTTTAATCCACGTAATGAGTTGGCAAAAGCACCATTACCAATCACACACAATACAGTTGTTAAACAGTTTTATGTGTTTCTGAAGAGTTGTTGAAAGACAATCCCAAATTATAACTTAGCCTGACTTAGGTAGTAAATAATTCAAGTTTAATTTGCCATTTCTTGACATATTGACTTTTAAAAGCATGGCCTTATAGATTGTCTATAAAATAAGAGAAATGTTAAATATTCTTTATTTGACGTTACACATAAACCACACTAAAATGCCTTTCAATAAATAAAAGGCAGCATTTTAGTAGATCCAGGGAAATTAGATTGGCATAATAAAGATTAAAAGTACAAAGCAAACATTGCTACCTTCTCTCCAGCCCTCACCTTTAATAGGCTAACGGAACACCAATTAAAACATCAGTGAGTCTTGCTTGGTTCTGAGACAGTGAGGGGATTTCTCCAGTATTTAAATATATTCACATTATCAGTTATATAAATCTTAATATAAAACCAATCTTCGATAGACTTTGGGATGGCAATTGACTACCTTTGTGAAAAGGTAAACATCACTAAATCTGAACATATCTTTAGAAATGGAAAACAGTGATAGCATTTATTGAACTGGAATCACTATCAAAATCCAAAAAACCGATCATATTCATTTAACCACAAGCCAGTCTTAGTTAAATCGGGACTGTCCAACAAAAATATTCTGTCACTCATTCATGATCTGAATTCTGGTAAATGAGACCAATCAAATTATGGTACACATAAAAAAAAAAGCCATAAGATATTTCTCTTTTGTAATAAATAAGGCAATGGCCAACTATTACTCATTTGTAGCTTTTTTGAGATAAGCTATCAAGTCTGCCCTTTCCCCCTTCTTCTTAATGCCAGCGAAGATCATTTTTGTTCCAGGGATGTACTTCTTGGGATTCTCCAAATACTCCATCAGTGT